ACCACCTTCCCTACTCCCCCCCTGTATAGACAGAAGTGGGAGGCAGATTGCGGCACTAATTTTTCTGATGAGGACTTGGATTCCATGGTGGATAATATACAGAGGGGCTCTAGATCTCTCTCGGTCCGTGAGACCTTAAAGTTTTGACTCGCTGGTATTATACCCCTCTGGACTACATGTCATGTTCCCAGGGACATCGCATCTCTGCTTCAGGGGTTGTGGCCTCGCTGGAAACCTTGTGCACGTGTTTTGGGCATGTCCTAGTCTCTCCTTGATCTGGAATAGGATCTTGGTGTTGGCCTCTGCCCTGGCAGATACTCCCATAACAATGTCTATACAAATTTGTTTATTGGGAGCTCCTATTTCGGGTGTTCCTGTCAATGAGATGAGGCTAATCCACACGACTTCTGTCTCATCCTTTTGGGCCATTGCCCTTCACTGGAAGTCACCGACCGTTCCTTTAGACTCAGTGTTGCAGAGAGTTGACATGGTCATGCTCATGGAACATATCCACTACACACTGCTAGATAGGATGCACTTGTTCAACAGAAAATGGGATGGTTGGAAAACACATCGGAATTTATTGTCTGACTGATGGTCTGTCATGGTTCGATGTGTTTCAAATCTTTGTTAACATCTTGGTTGTTTTGTATTTCTTACTGACTGTCTCATTCATGTACATGCATTTATCTTTTTTATGCTTGTATCTATACTACTGTTTCTCACCTATGTGCCTTTTTCTTGAGCTGTTTTGATCTTCAAGTAGTTATACTGTTACTGTTGTCTATCCTTTAATAAAAATCGTTTGTAAAAAAAAAAAAAAGAGTCTATAACCTTACAGAAAAAATCCAGTTAATACGTCTAAATATCAGTAGCATTAAATAAATAATAATAATGAAAAAAATAAATAAATTTTATTAATATACAGTTGTGTTCAAAATAATAGCAGTCAGACATCACTAACCGGATCAATCACTGTTTTTGGTAGAAATGATATTTCTACATGGCAAATCATTTACTAGCAGGTGTAGTAGAGTAATAGAAATCCAACAGACCCAACAGTCATGACATGCATGCTGCTGATTCTGTGTCATTGAATCACTCATTGAAAGGGGCATGTTCAAAATAATAGCAGTGTGGAGTTCTATTAGTGAGGTCATTCATTCTTTGAAAAACAGGTGGCAATTATTGCCCTTATTTAAGGAAGGAAGGCAGCAAATGTTGTACATGCTGGTTACAGTGCATTTCTCTCTGAAATTCTGAGCAAAATGGGTCGTGCCAGACGTTGTTCAGAAGAACAGCGTACCTTGATTAAAAAGTTGATTGGAGAGGGAAAACATATAAAGAAGTGCAGAAAATGATCGGCTGCTCAGCTAAAATGATCGCAAATGCTTTAAAATGGCAACCAAAACCTGAAAGACGTGGAAGAAAGCAAAAAACTACCATTCGAATGGATAGAAGAATAGCCAAAATGGCAAGGACTCAGCCAACAATCAGCTCCAGGAAGATCAAAGAAGATGTAAAGTTCTCTGTGAGTACTGTTACAATTAGAAGATGCCTATGTGAAGCCAAGCTATCTGCAAGAAGCCCCCGCAAAGTCCCACTGTTGAAAAAAAGACGTGCTGAAGAGGTTACAATTTGCCAAAGAGCACATTGACTGGCCTAAAGAGAAAACGCAACATTTTGTGGACTGATGAAAGTAAGATTGTTCTTTTTGGGTCTAGTGGCCGGAGACAGTTTGTCAGACGACCCCCAAACACTGAATTCAAGCCACAGTACACTGTGAAGACAGTGAAGCATGGTGGTGCAAGCATCATGATATGGGGATGTTTCTCATACTACGGTGTTGGGCCTATTTATCGCATACCAGGGATCATGGATCAGTTTGAATACATCAGAATACTTGAAGAGGTCATGCTGCCTTATGCTGAAGAGGAAATGCCCTTGAAATGGGTGTTCCAACAAGACAACGACCCCAAACACACCAGTAAACGTGCAACATCTTGGTTCCAGACCAACAAGATTGATGTTATGGAGTGGCCAGCCCAATCCCAGGATCTTAATCCAATAGAAAACTTGTGGGGTGACATCAAAAATGCAGTTTCTGAGGCAAAACCAAGAAATAGAGAAGAACTGTGGAATGTAGTCCAATCATCCTGGGCTGGAATACCTGATCACAGGGGCCAGAAGTTGGTTGACTCCATGCAACACAGATGTACAGCAGTTCTCAGAAACAGTGCTTACACAACTAAATATTCATTAAATGATTCAAAGGAAAGCAAAATCTTCAAACATTTTTCAGTTTATATAGTGAATGTTTGAGTTTGTAAAAAAGAATACAAACACTGCTATTTTTTTGAACCGTCTAATATTCACTTTTCTTCAATTTTTTTAGAGGAACAACACAAATTTGATATATTTTTCTTCATGTTGTGATTTGGAATAGAATGTGTAGTGTTCCCAATGCATTTGTGTGGATGGAAATAAAAGCTATTAGAAGGATTTTGATCTTTATTCACTTTTTTCAACACACTGCTATTATTTTGAACACAACTGTATATATATACAATTTATTATTATTTTTTTAATTACATACCTGTATTTTATTGGTGCTATAGTATTTGCTACAGTTATGAACTCTCAAGAGCTCAGAGATGATCTGTGTTATCAGCATGAGGTCAGGCTGTGGACGGGGTAGCAGAGGGTCTCCCAGCTACAGAATCCTCATCAAAGTTAAAGCTGAATAAGGGGTCAATTGTACGTTTTCTTAGGGCCGTGTCACGCTTGCAATCCAGTCACTAACAAGAAAGCACCAACAACAGGATCTCTAGAAAATTCAAGGGGGACAAATATCTTATTAGCATGTGTCGCTCCCTCGCAGGCTTCTGCAGTGAGGTGTCGCTCCCGTGCTGCCAAAAACGCTACAAATTCTGAGGGTCATGCTTTACTCATCCAGCTGGTGTGGGTCCGATACTTGCATGGAGATGAGTGTTGCCCCTCCCTGCTGTGTCTTCCAAAGTGATCTTGCCATTGGTGATTTCTGGTCAGCACCAGGGTAGATGGTGTGCCATGGCCTTTAGTATCCCTTCTGTGATAATAATTTTTCAATTTTCTAACATTTTCTAACTGGTTCTCCATAACGCTAGGTTCACACTTATGCCGATTTCAGTGCATTTTCCATTTTGCAAAAACGCACTACAGTCCATTCAACATGATTTCCTATGGATCTAGTTCACATCGGTGCGTTTTGAGCTGATGCATTTTTTGGGAAGGGTCAGGGACTTTTTTCCTGCAGCAGATTGCATTTTGTACATAATAGACTTCAAAAATGCAAGTGTTGCGTTTGTGATGCTTTTTTTTTTTTGCCAATAGGAAAGTATTGACTTTGATGCGAGTTTGGATGGGTGTGACTTTGGATGGGTGCGACTTTGATGCTACTTTGGATGGGTGTGACTTTGGATATGTGTGACTTTGATGCTACTTTGGATGGGTGTGACTTTGGATGGGTGTGACTTTGGATGGGTGTGACTTTGGATGGGTGTGACTTTGATGCGACTTTGGATGGGTGTAACTTTAATGCGACTTTGGATGGGTGTGACTTTGATGCGACTTTGGGTGGGTGTACCTTTGATGCGACTTTGGATGGGTGTAACTTTAATGCAACTTTGGATGGGTGTGACTTTGATGCGACTTTGGATGGGTGTGACTTTGATGCGACTTTGGATGGGTGTACCTTTGATGCGACTTTGAATGGGTGTGACTTTGATGCGACTTTGGATGGGTGTACCTTTGATGCGACTTTGGATGGGTGTGACTTTGATGCGACTTTGGATGGGTGTGGCTTTGATGCGACTTTGGATGGGTGTGACTTTGATGCGACTTTGGATGGGTGTGACTTTGATGCGACTTTGGATGTGTGACTTTGATGCTATTTTGGATGGCTGTGACTTTGATGCTACTTTGGATGGGTGCAACTTTGGATGGGTGCGACTTTGGATGGGTGTGACTTTGGATGGGTGTGACTTTGATGCTACTTTGGATGGGTGTGACTTTGGATGGGTGTGACTTTGATGCAACTTTGGATGGGTGTAACTTTGATGCAACTTTGGATGGGTGCAACTTTGGGTGTGACTTTGGATGGGTGTGACTTTGGATGGGTGTGACTTTGGATGGGTGTGACTTTGATGCTACTTTGGATGGGTGTGACTTTGATGCGACTTTGGATGGGTGTGACTTTGATGCTACTTTGGATGGGTGTGACTTTGATGCGACTTTGGATGGGTGTGACTTTGATGCGACTTTGGATGGGTGTGACTGTGGATGGGTGTGACTTTGATGCTACTTTGGATGGGTGTGACTTTGGATGAGTGTGACTTTGATGCAACTTTGGATGGGTGTGACTTTGATGCGACTTTGGATGGGTGTGACTTTGATGCTGTTTTGGATGGGTGTGACTTTGATGCTACTTTGGATGGGTGTGACTTTGATGCAACTTTGGATGGCTGTGACTTTGATGCTATTTTGGATGGGTGTGACTTTGATGCTACTTTGAATGGGTGTGACTTTGATGCTACTTTGGATGGGTGTGACTTTGGATGGGTGTGAATTTGGTGTGACTTTGGATGGGTGTGACTTTGATGCGACTTTGGATGGATGCAGCTTTGATGCTACTTGAGTGCCAGAGAGTGTAAAGTCGCATAAAAGTTGCATAAAGGTTGCACTACATGAACAGAACTGTTATACTTTCCTATTAGCGCGAAAAAAAAAGCATCCAAAGTCACATGAAAGTCGCACCCATCCAAAGTTGCATCAAAGCCAATACTTTCCTATTGGCAAAAAACCCCCTGCAAAACACATCATAAATACATGTTCAAAAACGCACTGTGAAATCGCACAATCTGCATAGATGTGAACCTAACTGGAAGAAATGAATCATGAATAACTGTCTGCAGGACAGGACAATATCGGGTATTTATTTACTGGTTGTTTCTGCCCAACAGCAATACCCAGCGGGAACTGTCCCTCCGCAGCCTGGCATCCCCCCCTCCACAGATCCCCCCGGGACTGGCACTACTAGAACCTCGCCGCCCGCCTCATGACTACATGCCGATTGCTGTGCTCACCACAATCTGCTGCTTCTGGCCTACTGGTGTCATCGCCATTATCAAGGCTGTGCAGGTAAGTCCCTTCTCTTGTTATGTTGAGCTGTATTGTGCTTTATATTTTACATTGCCTGACTTGTCTGTGAGTGTTATTGACAATCCTGTATAGTCAAACCACAAGCAGCGCACCATGCTTCACTGGGCTGTCCAAGCATGAAAACCCTTTCTTAAAGGACACCTTCCTTAAAAGACATGTATATTGGTCCTATAAAGTCGGACTAAAAGTAACATTTTACAAATGTTTTCACTAGTTTGATAAAAAGGTAATTACTGTATTACAAAATTTGGGTGTTACGAGCCAGCAGGGGAAACCCCAGGCTTCGTTTCACACGTTTACTTGCCCTTCTTAGCTGCACTGTGGAGAAAAAAGCCATTTTGTTTCACAGAGATCAATAGCTAAAGTTCAGATTTGCACAAACAACTGAATACTTACTCCTCCCTCTCCCTGCTACACTCCTTATAGACTTTCTGAAGATCCAGTCAGAGAGGCCTAATGCAAATAGCTTTTTCATTTTACAAATGTTTTCAGTAGTTAGGTAAAAAGGGAATTATTGTATTACAAAATGTTGGGTTTATGAGCCAGCAGGGGAAACCCCAGGCTTCGTTTCACACGTTAACTTGCCCTTCTTAGCTGCTTTGTGGAGAAAAAAGCCATGTTGTTCACAGAGCTCAATAGCTAAAGTTCAGATTTACACAAACAACTGAATACTTACTCCTCCCTCTCCCTGCTACACTCCTGATAGACTTTCTGAAGATCCAGTCAGAGAGGCCTAAGGCAAATTGCTTTTTCATTTTACAAATGTTTTCAGTAGTTAGGTAAAAAGGGAATAATTGTATTACAAAATGTTGGGTTTATGAGCCAGCAGGTGGAGCCTCAAGCTTCGTTTCACATGTTTACTTACCCTTCTTAGCTGCTTTGTGGAGAAAAAAGCCATGTTGTTCACAGAGCTCATTAGCTAAAGTTCAGATTTGCACAAACAACTGAATACTTACTCCTCCCTCTCCCTGCTACACTCCTGATAGACTTTCTGAAGATCCAATCAGAGAGGCCTAAGGCAAATAGCTTTTTTGTTCTGCAAATGTTTTCGCTAGTTAGATAAAAAGGGAATTATTGTATTACAAAATTCTGGGTTTATGAGCCAGCAGGTGGAGCCCCAGGCTTCGTTTCACACATTTACTTGCCCTTCTGAACTGCTTTGTGGAGACAAAAGCCATGTTGTTCACAGAGCTCAATAGCTAAAGTTCAGATTTGCACAACTGAATGCTTACTCTTCCCTGTCCCTGCTACACTCCTGATAGACTTTTTGAAGATCCAATCAGAGAGGCCTAAGGCAAATAGCTTTTTCATTTTACAAATGCTTTTGCTAGTTAGGTAAAAAGGGAATTATTGTATTACAAAATTTTTGGGATTATGAGCCAGCAGGTGTAGCCCCAGGCTTCGTTTCACACATTTACTTGCCCTTCATAGCTGCTTTGTGGAGAAAAAAGCCATGTTGTTCACAGAGCTCAATAGCTAAAGTTCAGATTTGCACAAACCAGGGGCAGACTGACAACTCATGGGGCCCCCGGGCAATAGGAGATCATAAGGCCCCTGTGTCCTTGCCAAAACTCAAAAAAGCCTATGAAAAAGGTACCAGGGGCATCTCATAGGGCCCTCTACTGACCCCGGGCCCTCGGGCACTGCCCGAGTTTCCAAATGGTCAGTCCGCCCCTGGCACAAACAACTGAATACTTACTCCTCCCTCTCCCTGCTACACTCCTGATAGACTTTTTGAAGATCAAGTCGGAGAGGCCTAAGGCAAATAGCTTTTGCTATGTTCTCTCTTTGGAAATCCCATTGTGGTCTGGGACAACTATGCCAGTGTCATGGGAACACATGGGGTGGATTTACCAAAGGCAAATAGAATGTGCAATTTGCTTCAGAGCTTCGTCAATGAGGGGAAGCTCTGCTAATGTCCATCCTTCAATCACGTGAAGGCAAAAATGCAGTTTTTTTTTATTGTCTTTGTATGTGATTGGGTATTCATTGCAAAGTGAAGCTTCATCTCATTTACTAAGTTCTGGATCACCTGTACATGCAGAGTGCAACTGCACTGGCAATGTGCACCATCTATGTGCCTTAATAAATCCATTTTTATAGTCAATGTCTATCTTTAAAATAAAGATTTCTTTTTATTAGTGAAATCAAACTGATTAACTTAATGAAATACACTAAAATAAAATTGATTTACAACTACTATAGCCTTTATCCCCTTCATGACCAGGTCATTTTTTCCTTTTTAGCACTGCACTATTTTAACTGGTAATTGCGCTGTCATGCAACACTAAACTCAAACGCCATTTATATCACTTTTTTCTCACACATAGAGCTTCCTTTTGGTGGTATGTCATCATCACTGGGTTTTTTGTTTTCTATGATATAAATGAAAAAAGACCAAACATTTAAAAAAATAAAACAATAAAGTGTGGGGTCTTGTGAGCTACTATGGTGTATGTAAAATGTTAATAAATAATAAAATATCCTATAATTGTGATATACAATTGAAATTAAATTAGATAATGTATAAAACTGTGAAAATGTGGTTCGCTTACACTCTACAGATACTCACACCATTGTGTCATAAAGCCTCAAATCAGAAATAGTGTCGCGCTTCACTGACAATTACAAAGATGATGAGTGAATAAGTGTTAAATTAATAAATAAAAGTCTCGCAACAATATCACTGCAATTATATTGCTACTACAATCTTGTCCTTAATGAGTCTGTGCCTTTGGGACTTCTTCTGTTTCTGTGATGCGAAATAATAACCGTGCAGTTCACCAAGTTTAAAAAATATATTGTGCACCTTCACTGGTTGTGCTCTCACCTGATGTATATAAACAAACAGTTAAGTGAGGTCATAAAAAGCTTGTGTCCTTTTATTTGGACTTAGTGGTAAATGGATAGGATTATCCTTCTGTCCCTGGGATGGATGGATGGACAGAGTGTTTCCTTTTTCCAGCAGGGGGACCCCTCACTTCCTTATGGATTTTCCTGGAGCCGAATGGATGGACGGGAGTACCCCTCTTCCCACTAGGGGGTCTCCTTACTTCGTTAGGGATTTTTCTCCATAAATGTATTGGCCATGAAATATAATAAAAGATATAGTGCCTTATCCTCTTTAAAAGTTAATTTAATTCAAATAAAGTAGTGCACTCACTTGTATTACAAGTTAAAACGCATTAAAAGTAAAAATTTTAATCCACAGTAAGGTTTTCCAATATTGTTGAATACTTGCTGTATGTTGTTTTAAGTGTCGTGACGTCAGAGCCCCTCTCCTACGCGTTACGTCACCGGGTCACGTGACTTCATCAGGGGGAATTCAATATTTTTTGCTTTCTGCTATAAAACATATCCAATAAAAAAAGTAAAAAAAAAAACAAACAAACTACTTCATAGATTTTGGCCAAAATGTATTCTGCTACATGTCTTAAAAAAAAAAAAATCCCAATAAGTGTATATTGAATGATTTGCGTGAAAGTTATATAGTCTACAAACTATGGGATATAGATTTGAATTTTTTATACTACTAATGGCGGTGATCAGCAAATTATGATGGGATTGTGATAGTGCAGTGGACAATCTGACACTAATTGACACTGGGTGGGAACTGACTAACTGTCACTGACATCTCCAGTGACACTAATACAGTGATCAGTGATAATACTATATACTGTCACTGCACTAATGACCTTGGCTGGGAAGGGGTGATCTAGTGCGATCAAGGGATTAAATGTGTACCTAACAGTGTGTAATGTGTGTATGATGTGCTGCTTTTATGAACTTATCTCTTTGTTTCTGATTCCTGCTTTGCAGGGATAAGAAACAGAGAGATTGTTCCCTTTGTACAGAGATCTGTGTTGTCAACACAGGGCTCTGGGCTGTGATTGGATACAGTCGATCAGCAGGTCCCAGCCATGAATCATTGGCCGGTACTTGCTGACAGACAATTACAGTGATGTCGGTGGGGCGTGCATGCCCTAATCCCAGAATCAGATGTACCAGTACGTCGCTTTGCCAGTACGGGCGCTCCTTAAATGGATAGTTTCTCTTTAAAGGCAAAAAGCAGTAAATTTATGTTATGGGAGTTATTGACACGATCTGAAAGAGCCTGCATTTTTCTGCAGTGGATAAATGCAGGTCGTGGCTAGGGTACAAAGAAAACAATTGGTTTCTATGTGCCTTGTTCACACTACAATGCTGCTGTGCTGTGCAGTGCAGTGAGCTGCAGTACAATGTAGCACGTCTTTCCATTTTTCCACCTTATATCATTTCATTGCACTGCTATGCAGTAACACCAATGAAGTGTCAGTTTAAATAAAGTTAACCGCTTCCCGACCACCCTATATGCAGAAATACTGCTACAGAGCGGCACGGGTGCGTAAGATCACATATATACGTGATTTTGCATTTCTGGGTAGGGGGCATGCACACCCTACCCGCGCCACCATTCGCAGCCACGGCTGTCAATCACTGGGTCCCGGCTGATGATTATTCGCTGGCGCTTGGTGATTGCCGAGCATCTCCGACGGGGAGAAGAGCTATTTGTAAACAAAGTAGTTCTCTCTGTCAGCTCATGCACACTACTTTGGATGGCTGTGCACAGCACAGCCATCCAAAGCAGTGTGCTTACAGTGAAGCACATGGACATAGTGAAACAGCACACAGTTAACCCTTTGATCACCCCTCATGTTATCCCCTTCCTACCCAGTGCCATTGGTACAGTGTCAGTGCTTTTTTTTAGCACTGATCACTGTATTGTTGTCACTGGGGATGTCAGTGACACCAAGTCAGTTCCGCCTAGTATCAGAATGCCCCGCCACAGTCCCGTAGTCCCACTAAAAGTCACTGATCACTGCCATTACTAGTAAAAAATTAAAAAGAAAAAAAAATTCCAGTATATATTACGCCATTTGTAGACGCTATAACTTTCACGTAAGCCAATTAATTTACATATATTGGGATTTTTTTTAGCA